AGACTTAGGGTACGTTTGGTTCAAGGAATGTCAAATTATCATGAGAATGTTAGATTACCGGGTATGTTAGATAGATGTGAATGTGATTAGTGTGTAACCCATTTGTGTTTGGTTACGATTAAGGAAATGTGACATTAAATTGTTTGGTTGAATGATATCGTAAACGGAGTATTACATATTTGTGAATTATTTAAATGCCCTTTAAATATTTGTCTCTTAACACATTAAACTTATTACAAAAGTAATTAAAATTAAAGAAAAACAAAACATCTTAATAATAATTAAAATGAAAACTAATTGAATTAATTCTAAGAAAAGTACATTTAATTGCAAAAATGACTAAGACGAGTTAACATTAATAAACAATTCTAAGAAAAATATGTTTAATTATAAAATGACATAGATTAGTGGGTATTTGTGGAATAGAATTAAAAAGCAACCAGGCATGTCACAAAATCTAAGGCCTAAGTGGGTTTCACATGAAGGGGCATTTGATTACTTTTTCACTTTTTTGGAATGTAACATTCAAAAAAAATCAAACCCGCAAACCAAACACAGATATCTCACATCCCGGGCATCAGATTCCCACCTGTATAAGATATTCACTCCAACCAAACGTACTCTTAGAGTCAATCACCTCGAAGAAAGCAGTATGACTCGTTGATCTTATAATAGGCTTAATTGAGTCAATGATGGACGAAAAAGACTTTTCATCATCTAACCTAAATTCTAGAGTTCTGCTAGTAGGAAACAAAAACACAACCAAAACAATATCCAATTCGAAACAAAAGATTAAAAGGAAAGCAAAATAATTTAAATAAAGTTGTCTCATAATAATCACGAGAAACCGGACCATGTACCCTCGGGGTATAACCTCATCAGAGACCCAGGCGGGACTAGTTGCCAGTGCCCGCCTCCTCGTTTTTTTGGATCATCTGACGACATGCATTCAACTATTTGAACGTTTTCCTCCCACTCCCTAGCACTTGCCCTACACATTGCATTCCATGTAACTTGTAAATTGACTCAATTGAACGTTTTCTCAACCAACTCCGGGCCTAGATCTTTTTGGCCAGTACAGTACCGATTGCTGGGATTCAGTACAACCAACCCCAAGCCTAGATCGATCGATATGTGTGATCCGGAATCCTTCCTACCCAGCTAGCTAGCTGGGGTTCCTTTGGTAAACATTCCGTTTGAGTTGATGAATTCAGGCGGAGTTAATGTCGACAATTTGAACATTGAGTGTACAAAAATGGCAAGGCCATCTCTGCTCCAGACTTTGTTCTTAGTGTACGAAACTACGTACTTTGCATTAATTCTGAGTATTCCCTCCCTCAAACCAAATTAGACCACATCACTATAGACAAACTTTTACCGTTATAAATACATAAAGACCAGACATTTATCATATTAGATTGGACTACAACAACATCCAAGCCTTAGTCCCAAACGATATTGGGGTCGGCTAACATGAATCGATATATGATATCACCAAAAGGAAAAGAACGAAAATAAAGATAAAAAAGATAAGCTATTATAAAAAAAGATAATATAAAAGAGATGAATATACATATAAAAGATCAAATAAAAAGGATAAAGTAATATTTATATATAAGGATAAAAATATAAAAGAAAAAGAAAAAAAAGAAAAAAAAAAGGAGAAAAGATGATACAAGATCACTCTTCCACACGAATACCCGCCCTCCATTTTGCTCTCTCCAAAGCCATACTCTCATCCAATCCAAGAAGAAGCATATCACTTCTGACTCCCCTAACTCACGTCTGTTTGGGCCTTCCTCTCCCTCTTCCCTACCTCTTCTCCACACATCTCAACTCGTCTGACAGGTGCATCACTCGGTCTTCTATGCACATGACCAAACCACCGTAGGCGTGACTCCCGCATCTTATCTTCAATAGGTGCTACTCCCACCCTTTGTCTAATTGTCTCATTCCTCACGCGGTCCTTTCTAGTATGCCCACACATCCAACGCAACATGCGCATCTCTGCCACACTCATCTTTTGAATGTGACATTGTTTCACCGCCCAACACTCCGTGCCATACAGTAATGCACGCCTAATTGCTGTCCTATAAAATTTACCCTTCAGTCTAGTCGGCATACCTCGATCGCATAGAAATCCTGACGCACTCTTCCACTTCATCCACCCTGTTCTGATTCTATGGGATACATCTCCATCTAACTCACCGTCCTTCTGAATTATGGAGCCCAAGTAACGGAACATAACGCTGACCGGTATCTCCTTACCATATAAAGTAATTCCGCTATTAACACTGCTTCTACCTCCACCAAACTTGCACTCCATGTACTCTGTCTTGCTTCTACTTAGTCTGAAACCCTTGTTCTCCAATGTCTGTTGTCATACTTCCAACTTTGCTTTAACCCCTGATTGCGTCTCATCAATCAATACAATATCGTCGGCAAACATCATGCACCACGGTATATCGTCTTGAATTGACTTTGTAAGTTCATCCATGACTATGGCAAATAAAAAAGGGCTCAGAGTCGATCCTTGGTGCACCGATAGTAATAGGGAACTCCGCAGTCCTCCCTACACTAGTACGAACACTTGTAGTACTATCCTCATACATATCCATGATGATGTTGATATACTTGCGTGAAATGCCTTTTCTAGTTAAGGCCCACCAAAGAACTTCTCGAGGTACCCTATCATATGCCTTTTCTAAGTCAATGAATACTAAATGCAAATCCTTGTGAGCGTCTCTATACTTCTCCATAAGTTGCCGAAGAAGGTGAATAGCCTCAGTTGTTGAGCGACCAGGCATAAAACCGAATTGATTCTCTGAAATCTTCACCGTTCTTCGAAGTCTTTGCTCAATCATATTAGATTGGACTAATTCAAACAAATCAAATCAAATCAGACTTAAACAATTTAAATAAAGTAGAAAATTTCAATCTAAATAAAAACATGTTTAGGCTTTTATACTACTCTCCACTTCTCCAGTATTTACACGGAGTATATACTAATGTCAAAAATGTGGTTCATATGCCCTTCCGCAATTATAACTGGTTGTCAATTAGCAAGGGCGATATATTAGGCTGACAGTGACATAAGCACGGCGATATATTGGAGTGGATCGGTGCAAAGATTGTTTTTTTACATAATATGTCTATCCTAACAATTTAATTAAAATTGAAATTTGAGACGGGGTGGGGCCTACAATGGGCCCCTAATTACGCCCCTGTTGTTTGAATTGGTACAAATTGATTTTGGGAATTTTTTACATGAAAATTTTATCCTAATAATTTGAAGGTGAGTCACGGGCCTCACGGCTTAGAATGACCCCTAATTACGCCCTTAATTGTTTTTTTTAATCATCAAAACTGAAATACTTTATGAATTTAGAGAATTATTAGCCATCAAGCTATGAATACAACTAGGAGCTGACAGATATGTGCTAACATGATCTGAGACTAACACATGAGCAACACGATTCGCAGACCGTTTACAATAAGAAACATGAAAGTTACTCTTAGTATTTAATAAAAAACGAATGTCATACAAAATAAGGTGTATATAAGAACACCCACTTTCTCTTCGAATACCGTTCACCACCGTAAGAGCATCCGATTCAATTTCCACATTGTGCCATCCAGCTTCAATTGCCCCCTCCACTGCCTCCTTAATGCCCACTGCTTCAACCTCAGCTGCGGACCATCTGGCTCGGCTTGATCCCTCTCTTGCCTTGATAAAATTTCCTTCCGTATCTCTCGCCACCGAACTCCATGCCCGCACCCCTCCTGCCTCATTAACCGCCCCATCAACATTAATTTTAATAATTCCTTCCATTGGCTTCTTCCACCTTTCCACCCCTTTTGATCTAATCTGACTTTTGTTCTGACTAACCACCTGTGCATCTTTCCATCCGGATAGAACCCCTGCCGCTCCATTGATAACGCTTACCGCGTTGTACTTTTGATCCTTCCAAACTGCATTATTCCCCCTCTTCCACAAACTCCATAAAATAGCAATAAATCTCTCCCTTACCTCTCCATTGCTATTCGTAAAATGACCTTGAATCCAATCCTCAATGGATTTATTATCTTCCGTGGGTATGTTCGCCTCCTTCCACACGTCTTTCGCCCATGGGCATTGTGACACCGCACCCGAACGCCCTTGAAAATTCGATTTAAAATTTAACATTTATGTATTAAATTTCCGATTTCCAAACAATTGTAAAACGATTAATGTTTTACGTAGTGCATGATTGAATATCGTACTGTTCAAACTCGTATGTTAGTGTCGGGTTTTGCAAACACTTTTTGGGTCTTATTAATAAATAAAAGAGCCCAACATTACCTAAATAGTAATACATAATCCTTCAAGACAATTTGAGGAAGGTCGGGCGGCCCAAACATTATTTTGGGCCCAACCTGCTAAAAATAGCAAGTATTCGAGAATGACGTTCTAGACCCACTTGGGAGTGACCCACACGGCTAGTAGCCCAATAATATGTATGACAAATGTCCAATAAGTGATAGAATGATTAAAGGAGAATACAAATGCCTATAACCCCATCTTTGGCATTATTGAGCTAAATAATGGGAGTAGGATTTTCCTTCTAAAATATCCATCAAGTAAATTATTGGGATGAGCCTACACATATTGGAGATCAATAATGTGATTTAATAAGTTGACTTGTTCTAAATAAATTAGGATGAGTACAAAAAGACATCTTTGACAAAAGATAAAACAATAGGACCCATCTTCCTATTTTTGGAAGTATTGGTAGATGTTTTGGACCCCAAATTGATTGGGATCACTTGGGGAGCACCCCACACCTTCTTGGAACCTGCAAAATAAAGAGAATGAGTTAAAATCCTTGGTTGGGGCGGACAAAAAGAGAGGGGGGCTGAACAAGACATGTTTGTGAACCAAAAGGACCCTCTCCCCATTTTTTTTGATTGAGATATCTTGCTCAATCATCCCACATGCCAACCCACTCCTATCCTTTGACTTTTGAGGCTAAGTTAAGGCCAAGATAACACTTCCCCAGCTCCCATTCGAACTCCCCAAGATAAGAGAGAAGAAGAGAGCCACACAACCTAAAAGAGCAAGGAGAAAGCAAACTGCCCGCAGGTTTTTCCTCCAGTGAAAGGGTTACTTGTTTGCTTCATATCTCGAGTTATACACATCCAAATAAGGCGTGCGAGATACCAACAGAAATCTCTCAAGACGAGGAATCCGTGAAGGTATGATTTGCATCAATCGGAGTAGTGGAAGGCTTCCAAATTGACCGAGCAAAACACGACCTCGCAGGAAACGTTTTTGTATTCAAAGTAAGTTTGAATCCAAAACCTTCCTCCCTATTGTCTAAATCATATAAATGATTGAAGAACTATTATACACTGATTGAAGTGTATAAAATGTTATTATTATGTGACTTTAATTGTTGGAAAGGTTAGATACTAACCTAGACAAAACCTTGAAAGGTTAGGGAACGAATTCGTCGGGAAACACCCGTTCTAGGGACTGTTTTGCGTTTTCGGTTGGGAGTTGAACTAGCACTTTGAGGGGGGCTGTTTAACACTCAATTTCAAGCAAGGAATCAGTTCTCAAACCTTCTTGGCCGAGGCTTTGGTCATTGGATCGAGAAGGAAGGTTTTAAAGCTCATTTGAGGTGAGGACCGACATCTAGTTGCTTACAACTTGTAGGTTATGCATGAGATTACCTAAATGCTTAAATCATGTTTTTGTGAATAAATATGCTTGAACATGATATGAATGATAAGTAATGGACTTGACCATGAATTGAAACCATATTGATGAATATGGAGTTATGTGAGATAAAGGTATGTTAATATGGTAAAATGACCTTTCCAACTCACATATGAATGTTATGTGTATGTAAATGTATAGTTGCATGATGATGCTTAGCACATGGGAGGCTGCCACATATCTATTGATATGGAGGGGATACCATTAAGAATAATTGAGTTGTAGGAATAATCTTAATAGTATTGTGATGCTAGTTAAGGATTGTTCTAATTGTTGATAGAATCAAACTTAAGGTTTGAGTTGTTTGTGATGAACTTGAATGAGATTCAAGTGTCAAGTGTGATATTATGAAGTAGGAGATCTATGGTGTGATTGTATGAAGTAGGAGATCTATGGGGTGAATACATGAAGTAGGAGATCTATGGTATGATTATATGAAGTAGGAGATCTATGATGCGAGTGCATGATGATGTACTCGAGCCGAACTCTAGAAATGAGAAGTTGTATTAGGGTTGGACCCTACGTATGTCGTGACCATTAGTCACGGGGTTTTGGAAAATGTTTTATAACAAACATGGACCTTTGAGCCGGCTACTTGACTTTATATAAAGTAAGTATATATTTTGAAAGGGGTAATTTGAGATTACGGCCTATACTATGTTATCACCCTATTTGAGGGTCTTGTGTGTGAAATACTTGTTGTATATCTATTAGATGCCTGCCACACCAGCACTTTATAGCCCTATAGAGTGCTGACCCCTTCGGGGGCGTCCCACCACCATTTTTCAGGTTGAGGCTAGAGCTTGCTTCCTGTGCTCGTTGCTCGAGAGATCATATAGGAGGGAAGACTTGGTTCGTGCTTCCTCCATTTTGTTTTTAAACATTAATAAACATGCTCATGGACATTTTACTACAGAGCCTGCGTGCTCATGAATAGCCATGTGTGGCCCTTTTGTTTTAAACAATGTTTTCCGCTGCGTTATGAATTACTTATTATGTTTGTTTATGGATGGATATGTGTGAATGATATTCAAGACGCCTTGTATAATATGAATGTGTTGGACTGCGGTTGACTATTCGTATTGTACGGCGGATTGTTGACGTGTCCGGATAGGTCCGGGGCGTGACAATTAAGTTGGTATCAGAGCCAGGTTCATAAACTTCATAATGATGTCTCAAAATTCTCTTTTTGAAAAGATTTTGAAAACCATGAGCATAGAAGTTTTGTACTTAGAGAGCTTTTGGTACTTGGGTTGCAAGGTCTCTAATTGTTAAGATGGTACCCTTAGCAATTGGTATGGCGGTGACTCGGGCCAAAATGTGTCTTAAGTACCTATCCGTCAATTGACATTTGATACGAGTCTAATGACTCTTTCCAAATTTCTTTCAGAAATGGACCGTGGTGGCAGGATTACTAGGAGAAACCCGACGGGCCGTGTACCAGTGGAGACTGGACAGGGCAGTCGAAGGACCTCTAGGGCGTCTAGAGGAGCTGGCCGAGGAGGCCGATCACAGACCGTGAGCGACGGTCATGTGAGTACCGAGAACGAGAGCTACTGGTCCTATGAGGACTCGACCTATCGACCGGAAACAGAACCGGTTGAAACCCCTTATGAAGGGGATGATGATGATGATGATGTAACTGATGAGGAGGAAAACGGCTCCTTAACACGGATTGAGGCACTACTCCAACAATATCACCGTGAGCGTGAAGAGAGGAGGGAACGTCGAAGGCGCCGAGCCGGGCAACCTTCGGGCGGGGCTTCAAGGGAGAGGAGTCATGGTGACTCTAGGGCCCATATCGAACCACATGAGGGCCGAGGTGATGGAGGTCCGATCATAAGGATCTCCAAATACCTCAAGGAGGCACGAGACTTGGGGTGCAAACCCTTCAACGGAGCGGGTGACATCTCGGTCGCCGCGGAATGGATCAAGAGGTTGAACGAAGCAGCCCTTGATATGCAACTCACCCCCGAGTTTAAACTAAGGGTGGCGGTGAGGTTGCTTGAAGGGATGGCATCCACATGGTGGGACGGGGCCAAGGGAAAGTATGGCAATACCGTGACTTGGGAGGATTTCCGACAGGAGTTCTTTGCCCAATACTATTCTGATTTTGAGGTGAACAATAAGAGGAGAGAGTATGCCCTCCTGACCCAAGGTAGCAAGATGACGGTGAGGCAACTTGAACATAAATTCAGGGAGCTCGCGGAGTTCATACCGGAGTATGTCTGTGACGAGAACCGGATGGTAAACCACTTCTGGGATGCCCTAGACTTGGAGGTGCGTGAGAGGGCAACACAGTTGCCTAACATGACCTTTAGCCAAGTGGTTGAGCAAGGATTGAAAGGAGAGAAGGAATGGGAAGAAAGAAAGTTGAAGAACGCCGAGGAGGCGAAGAAAAGGAAGTGGGAGAGTCATGGCTCCCAAGGTTCCAACAAAAAGGGAAATCATGGAGGAGGATCTTTCCGTGCACCACCGCCACCATCTAGGGGGAACCAGGGCTCGAGCAGGCATGACTCGGGGTCACAAGCCTCGGGGACGCCTCGTTGCTTGAATTGCAAGAAGAGTCACCTCGGAAAATGCCGTGAACCTCCTAGATGCTTCCAATGCGGGAATACCGGGCATTTGAAGGCGCATTGCCCACAACTGGGTGGGGCAAGGTCATCGGGACCAAGTAGCGGGGCCACGGGGATGAGAAACCAAGCCCGGGGTTCCCAATCAACTAGGGGGCATGGAGGAGCAAGCGCGAGCAACGCGCCATCGGTGAATCAAGAAAGGACTCAAGCTAGAGTCTATGCGATGACGGAGGCGGATGCTCAAGCTAACCCGGATTCCGTTGCAGGTATTACCTTTTGTATACTTATGTTTTACCCTTGATTAGTCCATAAATTGAGGTTGCTAGTCGTTGGGATCGTTGCACGAAGCTTTGGGAGCGAAATCGGGTGAAAGACGGCTGATTTCTGCCAACGCACACCAGGCTGGACCATACGCACGGCCGTGCGTTGTCCGTGCGTTGGTCCGTGCGTTGGTGGCAGTAGCAACCCGGGAAGAAATTGCTATACGCACGGTCGTGCGTTGTCCGTGCGTTGGTCCGTGCGTTGGTGGCAGTAGCAACCGGGAAGAAATTTCTATACGCACGGACGTGCGTTGTCCGTGCGTTGGTCCGTGCGTTGGTGGCAGTAGCTCCGTTTTGAGGTTATAAGACACGCACGCCGTGCGTACCTCTTAGGCACTCCGTGCGTACCTCCTGGGCAGCCCAAAGTCGACTTTTTCGCGCCGTATTGCAACGTTAAGACCCGTTCTTGATCCCAAACACGTGTGTGAACATAATAAACCTCTCTAAATGTATAGGGATGGTAGGAAAGGTATCTCACATGACTTATAAATGTAGGAACACTAAAGATTAATGGGAAGCATGCACGAATCCTTATCGATACCGGAGCGCAACGTTCATTCGTAAGTGAGGCGTTCGCCGAGGGCTTAGAGAAACAATCAATACCAATGACGCAAACTTTAGTGGTATCAACACCACTAGGGGAAGACGTTGAAAGAACCAATTACTATCCATCTTGTATGGTGGAAATCGGTGGCCAAACCTTGACGTGTGATTTCGTACCGCTAAGTATGATGGAGTTCGATGCAATCCTGGGGATGGATTGGCTAGAAAAGCATCATGCTAGGGTAGATTGCTACACAAAGGTTTTGGAACTCGAAGGCAATGATGGGGATACCCTACGCTTCGAGGGGGATCGAGGAAAATCAAACAGTTGTATCATATCCGCCGTGAGAGCGAGAAGTATGATAAGAAAGGGGTGTCACGCATATCTAGCATACGTGGTTGACAAAACCAAGGAGGAAACGAACATCGATGATGTGAGGGTGGTTTGTAAGTATCCGGATGTCTTCCCTAAAGACCTACCGGGGCTTCCACCTGACAGAGAGATTGAATTTGTGATCGAGGTCGAGCCCGGTACCAAACCAATCTCCATACCGCCATACCGTATGGCACCCGCTGAACTTAACGAGTTGAAAACCCAATTGCAAGAGCTTTTGGATAATGGTTTCATTAGACCAAGCCACTCCCCGTGGGGAGCACCAGTTCTTTTTGTGAAAAAGAAAGATGGGACACTTCGAATGTGTATTGACTATCGTCAACTGAATAAGGTCACAATCAAGAATAGGTATCCTTTGCCTAGAATTGATGACTTGTTTGATCAACTACGAGGGGCAACCGTGTTTTCAAAGATTGATTTGAGGTCGGGTTACCATCAATTGAAGATTAAGGAAGACGACATACCAAAGAGTGCTTTCCGCACAAGGTATGGGCATTTTGAGTTCCTTGTTATGTCGTTTGGGTTAACAAACGCCCCAGCGGCATTCATGGACTTGATGAACCGAGTATTCCATAAATACTTGGATCGATTCGTGATTGTGTTCATAGATGACATTTTGATTTACTCAAAGAGTGAGGAAGAGCATGAAGAACACTTGATACTCGTTCTTGAGACACTACGGGAGAAGCAACTTTATGCCAAATTTTCTAAATGTGAATTTTGGCTAAAGGAAATTGGCTTTCTCGGGCATGTGGTTTCGGGATCGGGAATTGCTGTTGATAATAAGAAGATAGAGGCCATTACCGAATGGGAGAGACCAAAGAATGTTAAGGAAATTCGTAGTTTCCTTGGATTGGCAGGCTATTACAGAAAGTTCGTGGAAAAGTTCTCTGTTTTGGCGTCGCCGTTGACGAAGCTCACTCGAAAGGGAGCTAAGTTTATATGGGATGACAAATGTGAGAAAGGATTCATCGAACTGAAGAAGAGATTGACCGAGGCACCGGTACTTGCATTACCCAAACAGGGTGTGGGGTACGATGTCTATAGTGACGCGAGCATCCAAGGGTTTGGGTGTGTGTTGATGCAGGAAGGGAGGGTAATTGCCTATGCTTCACGACAGTTGAAGAAGCATGAGGTAAATTATCCTACCCATGATCTGGAGCTGGGAGCGGTAGTGTTTGCACTGAAGATTTGGAGACATTATCTCTACGGAGAGACATGTCACATATATACCGATCATAAGAGCTTGAAGTACGTGTTTACTCAGAAAGAGTTAAACATGAGACAGAGACGGTGGATGGAGTTGATAAAGGACTACCATCTAGTTATTGAGTACCATCCAGGTAAGGCAAACGTTGTAGCAGATGCCCTCAGCCGGAAGAGTTCGTCTGGGGCATTGTTGACTAGTTTGAGGGCACTGAGGGCCCAATTGGATGTATCTAGCGACGGTGCCTTATTGGCACGGTTCGAAGTGAGACCGACTTTACTTGATGAGATCAAGAAGGGTCAAGAGACGGACACAGAACTTATGAAGGTCCGGGAACGCATGCAAGCGGGACCGGTGGAGGATTTCAGGGAAAGAGATGATGGTCTCTTGTTATTTCGTGACCGAGTGTGTGTACCATCAGATGATGAGCTCCGAAAGTCCATCTTAGAGGAGGCTCATTCATCGGCTTATGCCATGCACCCGGGGGGCACGAAAATGTACCGTGATTTGAAAGAAAGTTACTGGTGGTCTGGAATGAAGAGGGAAATAGCCGAGTACATCAGTCGGTGCCTTACTTGTCAACAAGTTAAGGCAGAACATCAGCACCCAGCAGGCTTATTGCAACCACTCTCCATCCCTGAATGGAAGTGGGAGCACGTGACTATGGATTTCGTGGTAGGCTTACCACGGACTATCAGGAACTATGACGCGGTTTGGGTTGTTGTGGATAGGCTCACAAAGAGTGCACACTTCTTGCCTATCAACACTACCTACCCACTTGAGAGGTTAGCCAAATTGTATACGGATGAGATCGTGAGGCTGCATGGGGTCCCAGTGACCATTGTATCCGATAGAGACCCACGATTCACATCACGTTTTTGGCCGAAGTTTCAGGAGTCTATGGGAACGAGGTTGAAGTTCAGTACTGCTTTCCACCCACAGACGGATGGACAGTCTGAAAGAGTCATACAGATCTTGGAAGACATGCTGAGGGTTTGTGCATTGAAGTTCCAAGGAAGTTGGGACAACCACTTAGCACTTGTGGAGTTTGCCTATAACAACAGTTATCAGGCAAGCATCGGCATGCCTCCATACGAGGCATTGTATGGGAGGAGGTGTCGTACACCGTTATGCTGGGACGAGGTTGGCATGGCCAAACTCGAGGGTACTGAGTTGGTTGAGGTCACCAAATCAAAGGTGAAATTGATTCGAGAGAGACTCAAAGCGGCTCAGGATAGGCAAAAGAGTTATGCAGATAAGCGTCGAAGAACCTTAGAGTTTAAGGTTGATGACGAGGTATTCTTGAAAGTTTCTCCTCGGAAAGGGATCATTCGATTCCAAACCCGAGGGAAGCTTAACCCTCGATACATAGGTCCATTAAGGATTATAGAGAGGATCGGGGCCGTTGCATATCGTCTACAGTTGACTCCTGAGTTAGAGAAGATACATAATGTGTTTCATGTATCCATGCTTAAGAAGTATGTGCATGATCCCTCTCACGTATTGGAGAAGCCACCTGTAGAGGTACGTGAGGATTTGAACTACGCTGTTCAACCTATCAAGGTCACCGATAGAAAGGTGAAGAAACTGAGGAGCAAGGAAGTCCCAATGGTTAAAGTCCTGTGGAAGAGCGATCGGGTCGAGGAAGAGACATGGGAAACAGAGGCTTTGATGAGGAAGCAGTATGCTTTCCTATTCGAGTAGAACTGTGAATTTCGGGGACGAAATTCCTGTTAAGGGGGGGTGAACTTGTGACACCGCACCCGAACGCCCTTGAAAATTCGATTTAAAATTTAACATTTATGTATTGAATTTCCGATTTCCAAACAATTGTAAAACGATTAATGTTTTACGTAGTGCATGATTGAATATCGTACTGTTCAAACTCGTATGTTAGTGTCGGGTTTTGCAAACACTTTTTGGGTCTTATTAATAAATAAAAGAGCCCAACATTACCTAAATAGTAATACATAATCCTTCAAGACAGTTTGAGGAAGGTCGGGCGGCCCAAACATTATTTTGGGCCCAACCTGCTAAAAATAGCAAGTATTCGAGAATGACGTTCTAGACCCACTCGGGAGTGACCCACACGGCTAGTAGCCCAATAATATGTATGACAAATGTCCAATAAGTGATAGAATGATTAAAGGAGAATACAAATGCCTATAACCCCATCTTTGGCATTATTGAGCTAAATAATGGGAGTAGGATTTTCCTTCTAAAATATCCATCAAGTAAATTATTGGGATGAGCCTACACATATTGGAGATCAATAATGTGATTTAATAAGTTGACTTGTTCTAAATAAATTAGGATGAGTACAAAAAGACATCTTTGACAAAAGATAAAACAATAGGACCCATCTTCCTATTTTTGGAAGTATTGGTAGATGTTTTGGACCCCAAATTGATTGGGATCACTTGGGGAGCACCCCACACCTTCTTGGAACCTGCAAAATAAAGAGAATGAGTTAAAATCCTTGGTTGGGGCGGACAAAAAGAGAGGGGGGCTGAACAAGACATGTTTGTGAACCAAAAGGACCCTTTCCCCATTTTTTTTGATTGAGATATCTTGCTCAATCATCCCACATGCCAACCCACTCCTATCCTTTGACTTTTGAGGCTAAGTTAAGGCCAAGATAACACTTCCCCAGCTCCCATTCGAACTCCCCAAGATAAGAGAGAAGAAGAGAGCCACACAACCTAAAAGAGCAAGGAGAAAGCAAACTGCCCGCAGGTTTTTCCTCCAGTGAAAGGGTTACTTGTTTGCTTCATATCTCGAGTTATACACATCCAAATAAGGCGTGCGAGATACCAACAGAAAGCTCTCAAGACGAGGAATCCGTGAAGGTATGATTTGCATCAATCGGAGTAGTGGAAGGCTTCCAAATTGACCGAGCAAAACACGACCTCGCAGGAAACGTTTTTGTATTCAAAGTAAGTTTGAATCCAAAACCTTCCTCCCTATTGTCTAAATCATATAAATGATTGAAGAACTATTATACACTGATTGAAGTGTATAAAATGTTATTATTATGTGACTTTAATTGTTGGAAAGGTTAGATACTAACCTAGACAAAACCTTGAAAGGTTAGGGAACGAATTCGTCGGGAAACACCCGTTCTAGGGACTGTTTTGCGTTTTCGGTTGGGAGTTGAACTAGCACTTTGAGGGGGGCTGTTTAACACTCAATTTCAAGCAAGGAATCAGTTCTCAAACCTTCTTGGCCGAGGCTTTGGTCATTGGATCGAGAAGGAAGGTTTTAAAGCTCATTTGAGGTGAGGACCGACATCTAGTTGCTTACAACTTGTAGGTTATGCATGAGATTACCTAAATGCTTAAATCATGTTTTTGTGAATAAATATGCTTGAACATGATATGAATGATAAGTAATGGACTTGACCATGAATTGAAACCATATTGATGAATATGGAGTTATGTGAGATAAAGGTATGTTAATATGGTAAAATGACCTTTCCAACTCACATATGAATGTTATGTGTATGTAAATGTATAGTTGCATGATGATGCTTAGCACATGGGAGGCTGCCACATATCTATTGATATGGAGGGGATACCATTAAGAATAATTGAGTTGTAGGAATAATCTTAATAGTATTGTGATGCTAGTTAAGGATTGTTCTAATTGTTGATAGAATCAAACTTAAGGTTTGAGTTGTTTGTGATGAACTTGAATGAGATTCAAGTGTCAAGTGTGATATTATGAAGTAGGAGATCTATGGTGTGATTGTATGAAGTAGGAGATCTATGGGGTGAATACATGAAGTAGGAGATCTATGGTATGATTATATGAAGTAGGAGATCTATGATGCGAGTGCATGATGATGTACTCGAGCCGAACTCTAGAAATGAGAAGTTGTATTAGGGTTGGACCCTACGTATGTCGTGACCATTAGTCACGGGGTTTTGGAAAATGTTTTATAACAAACATGGGCCTTTGAGCCGGCTACTTGACTTTATATAAAGTAAGTATATATTTTGAAAGGGGTAATTTGAGATTACGGCCTATACTATGTTATCACCCTATTTGAGGGTCTTGTGTGTGAAATACTTGTTGTATATCTATTAGATGCCTGCCACACCAGCACTTTATAGCCCTATAGAGTGCTGACCCCTTCGGGGGCGTCCCACCACCATTTTTCAGGTTGAGGCTAGAGCTTGCTTCCTGTGCTCGTTGCTCGAGAGATCATATAGGAGGGAAGACTTGGTTCGTGCTTCCTCCATTTTGTTTTTAAACATTAATAAACATGCTCATGGACATTTTACTACAGAGCCTGCGTGCTCATGAATAGCCATGTGTGGCCCTTTTGTTTTAAACAATGTTTTCCGCTGCGTTATGAATTACTTATTATGTTTGTTTATGGATGGATATGTGTGAATGATATTCAAGACGCCTTGTATAATATGAATGTGTTGGACTGCGGTTGACTATTCGTATTGTACGGCGGATTGTTGACGTGTCCGGATAGGTCCGGGGCGTGACAGGCATTCTCGGAAGACATGCTCAATAGACTCCATTTGGCTATAACATAACTTGCATCCACTCGGTATATTCATGCCTCTAGGACGTAGATTGTCAATCGTGGGAATAGAGCCATCCAAAACCTGCCATAAAAAATATTTAAATTTAGGTGGTACCTTAGCCTCCCATAGCTTTTTCCAGGAATCCATCATCACGCTCTGAAATTCCCCCATTAGGATCCGGTAACAACTCTTGACCGAAAACATCCCATTTTTCTCACCCTTCCGCCAGTACCCGTCGGCCCTCTCCCTACAGCTAATAAGGATACTCAGGATTCTTCCTCTGTCTTCTTCATTAAAAATTGCATTGATTATGTCTCTATTCCACTCTTTTCCAGTAAAATCTCTTAAAGCTGCGACAGTCATATCTTGAACCCGCTAAGGTTTAGCTGAAATGACTTGTCCTCCATCTTCACCTGGCAGCCATGCATCGGCCCAGACCTGGGTTTTTTCCCCATTCCCCACTTGGCACCGAATATTATCCTTGATAATGCTCTGCGTCTCGAAGATACTCCTCCAGATGAATGATGGATTGCTTCCCAATCTAGCTTGAAGGAAATTAGACTAAGGATAATATCTTGCCTTCATGATCTTGCTTACTAAACTGTCTTCTTCATTCACGAGCCTCCATCCTTGCTTAGCCAGCATAGCAAGATTAAACTCCCGCATTCTTCGAAAACCCAATCCCCCAACCTCTCTTGGTTTACACAGTTTCTCCCAACTTCGCCATCTAAGCCCTTTTGATCAAATTTGGAGCCCCTCCACCAGAAACCGTTCATTAGTTTCTCAATCTCATTACACATTTCCTTTGGTAAAAGGAAGACATTCATAGCATAATTGGGCATAGCTTGTATGACATTTTTTAATAAAACAGCTCTCCCTGCCCTAGATAGAAATCTATTATTCCAACTCTTTATCCTGTTCAGAATCTTGTCTTTAAGATATCACAAAATAACAGTTTTATTTTTTCCCACCATCCCCGGTAAGCCAAGGTACCTTCTCTGAGTGTCCTCGGCCACCACTCCCAAATTCATACGACACTGATCCTTCATCTGATCTGTTGTATTTGGAGTAAAAGTAATCGAAGATTTTTGGAAATTTACCTTTTGTCCTGACACTTCTGCATAACTATTTAAAATAGTTTTTATTGCTTCCACTTCTCCTGGAACAGCTCGAAAGAACAGGAAACTATCATCTGCAGAGAAAAGGTGTGAAACCTTTGGTGCCCCTTGGCACACCGCCGCCCCGGTCCATGCAGTCGGCCTCCAACCTCCGCTCGTTTGATCATCGAACTCAATCCTTCAGCCACCCTTAATTACGCCCTTAATTGTTGTTGTTGCACATAGCAGTGTTGAAAACAGATCTTCGTGAAAACTAGTGATGAGATTTACAGGTTTCTTAATGGACATCATTTGAAAATCTAGAACAACAAATCTAGAACAACTATTTATTTGAAAATATAAAACAACAAATCTAGAACAACTATTTATTTGAAAATCTAGAACAATAGAGAGATTTCATCGTGTACAACTTCTTGATCATTATCAATGAGATTTGTTTTTGCCCTCTCTTATTATTTTTGAGTGCATCCAATCATCCATATATAACAGCTGAAATATGGGATTAACAACCCTTAAACACTTACTTTCTAATTTCTCTTCCAACAAATGCTAAGGCTACAGGTGGACATTTAGGTTTGGTTTAATTGAACCGAACTGTACGGAACTAAACTAAACCGAACCGAAACTAGACTATATACAATTTGGTTTGAGTTTGATAATATTTCTTCCAAATCATATTAAGCCAAACTGAAACCAAGAAAAACCGAATAAAATTGAACCGAACAAAAGAAATTCAATAAAAAATTGACATGTTATTAAAAAATAACAAATTCAAACTCAACCAAATCGAAGCGAAAAATAGTACTATGTATGATTTTTGTTAGATATTAATTGTTCCAATCTGTTCCAAATCGAAACGAATCGAAACCAATAAAAATCAAATTGAAAATCCATATGCCCATCATAGTTAATAGTCAAGACCCTCTTTTATGTTTTACTCCATCCCATTTTGGTTATCCTACTTTTCTTTTTAGGTTGTTCCAAAATGAATGTCTTGTTTTCTTTTTGGCAAGAAATATGTGGTCAGTATAATACATTTGTTATGAAATACACTTGAAAATACATTCTCGTCTAGGAAATTGAGTAAGAAAATTATTTAATCATTAGGAAATACATTTTAAGATAAATCCAAAATTGTTTGAAATATTATGGAGACCTCTGCAGTAAATTGCATTTAATTTGAATTATATAATAATTACTTTATTACAAATATTTTTTGAAATCAACAGAACAAACTTGGTTAAATTACACAAAGTATAACTATTTATCGCTATGAATTACTTTGAAGCCCCAAAAATAAGTAAAAATAATAATTGGTTCGAAACATTCTTTAATAAATTTGAAATTATTTAATTACAGTGCCGTAGATGAGGCGTGCAAAGCGTGCCTTTGCACAGGGCCTCCAAAAATACAAGGCCCATTTTTTTTTGTAAAATCTATATAGTGTATGTTGAGGTTTAGTCCCGTAGATCCGGAAGCCCAACATAAACTTCGGATATTAAGGACGATTAATTCTGTATAAGAGTAAAAAATAAATATATTAAAGTGTATGAACTAGCTATTTTTACGTGGAAACCCGGAAAGGGAGAAAACCACGGGACTTTTTAGGCTAACGTCCAAGCCCGCTCTTTCTCATTAATATGCTCTCATCGCTCATTTACATAATACAAAAGTAGAACTCCATTAATGGAGGTGAAGAAACTTGCTAATCTATCAAAGGGGAAGAAGAAGACTCCCCTGGGAGATGAGAGCCAAAGCAAAGAGCCAAAAGATCCATAATCTGGAAGCCAAGCTTCCTATGTATAGGCAAGGGGGAGGGTTCCCTATTCTCCTGGGCCAGAAAGGCCGGTTGGGCCTTAAATGGGCCTCGCCGACTGGGCTTCACATCGGGGTGATGTCTTGGGCCTCTTGAACAGTAATAGGCCGGGGTAGTATACCCCAACACAAGTCCCCCAGTTTGTTGAGTAGTGAGCCTGTGAAGGAGTGAATCTACTCGAGAAAGTATAATCCTGCTCACGTCCTTCCCTACCTTCCCTGAATCAGAGTCTTTAAATAATCTTGGACGCAAGGCATGCATAAGCCATAAGTGAGGTGCAATCCCGCACTAGGCACGAAAGCACTGAAGAGCCAGCCGCTCGTGCTGCATAAGACGGCAGTCCCGACCCTGAATGGCATGGGAACAGTTTCAGGCGCTATGGACTTGATCCTTTCTATTGAGTGAATCTCCTTAGTATTTTTTCGGTCGAGCACGCTCTTCGTATCATCTTTAGTCCAGAATATATAGCTCCTTTTGAGACAACCGTTGACTCCTCTTTCCTTAGTTGGTTGCTTGATAAATTAATGGACTTGCCTTAAAATTACCTTCCTTCCAGTAGCTCTTTCCTACTTGGTCCCAATCAAGGGAAGTTTGCTCATGATTTACGAATCATCATATAAGGAAATAATATTGATTTACTTAACATGTAGGCATGCAACGGTCATAATGTAGTAATAAAATATTCATGCAATCAAATATTAATGTAGCAACGGACATAATATTTGTAAGTCAAGCTACAATAATGGTTTCTCCAAAAGAAACTTTTGGTCAACATTTGTAAAAGGCAGGATATTCATTTTGCAGGAAATTAACAAATACGGAATCCAATAGCTATGAAAATCAGTTTTCTTCCTTTCTCAGAGTGGATTCAATCATTAAAAAATCCTTCCATTTAAATAGTGATTCCATCTTCAAGGCCAAGTCATGATACCGAATCCAAAAGATAATTCGTCACATACCATAGAATTCAAATAATCATTCAAATAAAGGTCTCGATTAGAACCGAGAGAGATTCTAGTCCTGATCTCTGCATGGTTAGTCACAACGAGTAAGGACCAGGTCTATCTTGCAAATAATAACTCACATATGTTTTTAGACCAGGTCTATCCTTTGTTCCTGCATGGTTAGTCATCAACAAAACAACATATTCAACACACACCACAACAAAGCGCACGTCAAATTTGGCGTCGTTGTCGGGGAAAGACAATTTTTTTTTTCTCATAAAAATCAAAAACAAAAAAAAATTTTACTCTTCTATTTTCTGAGGTTACATGAGTTATGAGAATATGGATACCAACACTTCATTCTTAGAGAGTCAAATTTCCTTCTTGACTTCTCTAATAAAGGAATTTATCAGAATTCAATATAAGTGAGTGTCCAAAAATTATGAATTATGAAATTTTAGTGTCCAATATGAGATACATATGAAACCATAGTGTCTAATTTGATCCATTTAAAACATTAGCATCCAATATGAGATTATGATGAAACCATAGTGTCCAATTGAAAATTTTGAAACACCCTTTTTTTTTAAGTCAAAAAATGGAAATCGTTTTTTCTCAAACATGCCCTGAACAGGCTTTACAGTTCCCACTACCCACCTCCATCGATTAGCTTCGTTTTCTGCTGTGCGACGTCCCAGTTATTGGAGAAAAGGACCGTAGCGAATGGCACAAGCGGCGAGGCTGATCCTGCGAATGCAAAAGGAGCTGAAGCTCCTCCTCTCAGACCCACCTCACGGCGCCTCCTTTCCTTCTCTCTCCTCCTCCTCCTCCGCTCCCTCCCTCTCCTCCATCGACGCCGGTAAGTCTTACTCCGTATTATAATTCAGCTACTGTCAATAGTTTCTTACAATTCGTCTCGAAATTACAGAAATTGAAGGCCCCGAAGGCACTGTTTATGCTAACGGATTATTTAAGCTTAAAATCCAAGTTCCGGAGAGGTAATTTTATGAATATATTTCTCATAATCTGGAAGCGGCAAGCAACTGAGTCAGGGGTTTGGTCGATTTATGTTGTGCGTTGATTGCTAGTTATTAATTTTGCTTTTTATTGTTCGGTTCGGTATTCTTATAATGGGTTCAACTTGAATGGTTTTGAGCGAATGCTGCGGTGCGATTCATTGCAGGTACCCTTTTCACCCTCCTGTTGTGACTTTCGTCACTCCAATTTATCATCCGAATATAGACAATGGAGGTCGCATTTGCTTGGATATTCTCAATCTTCCTCCAAAGGTTTTCCTTTTTCTAATTCACATTCTTTTTCTTTTTAAATTCGAATTTCGATAGTTACTGTAAAACTTGCTTAGGGCTTTGTAGATTTTTTCTCTGACGATCTATTGATCTTTATGGATGGCTTCATTTCATGTAGGGGGCATGGCAGCCATCTTTGAACATTTCAACTGTATTGACTAGCATTGGGTTGTTGTTAAGTGAACCAAACCCTGATGATGGCTTAATGCATGATGCGGTAAGTATGAAATTTACCATAGTTGGGTGATGATAAAAAGGATGGTGCGGGATTTATTCTTTTTTTTGTGTTACTTTAATGATATGCCGATGGTATGCAGAGTAAGGAGTACAAATATAACATGCAAGCTTTTTATCAGAAAGCAAGATCCATGACAGAAAAGTTTGCTATGCATCGAGCTAGCCAAGTTGCTGCTTCTGTTCCTCGCCAAGAATTTCATACTCAAACAAATCCTCACACAGAAATAGTAAAATTTACTACTTGCCTGGTTCCAATTTTATCTGTTTTTAGCTCTGATATTTATATCTGCCAGTTGCAGGTTGACAATAAGGGACCGAGCCAAAACAGATCTAGTGGAGTTAGCAGAATGTTATCTCTGGATTGTTTAGGATCCGAGCACCATGAGGACTCTAATACTAATGAAGTAAGTGAAATCCCTGCTAATTATCTCTTGGACAATCAGAATGAAGCCGGGGGATCAAAGCCTAAGAGAAATACTGCAGAGGGAGTGAATGAAATTCACTCTAACAATCAGATTGAAGCTGAATTTGGTAGGGGAAGAAGCTTTTATAGAAGCTTGAAGCGGAAACAGTCGCTAGCACATCATGATTTGAAACTAAAGAACAGAACACAATGCCATACAATATCTGATTTTCCACAGCCTGGAACCACCATTCATCACAACGGGGACACTGTTTGCAGAAACTTAAACCAGCTCACCACAATGAAACACAAGAAGCTTGGTTTGTCTGGTAGGAAAATCTCTTTGGGGTCTTCCTGTTCAACTCATCCTAGTCTGCAAAATAACAAAGAAAACTTGCTTTCTTCTAACACCTTTGCTGATCCCAAGGGAAATTTGCATGTCAAACCATCAGCCGTGTGTGTAATGTCAGAAGCCGGTGAGTCTGATGGTTTTGCTAAAAAGTCTTGTACAGGGATAGTTCTCAATATGCCTGATGGGAATCAACAAAGGCGGCCTTTGAAATCTATGGATCATTTGCAAGAAAGTGTCGACATTCAGCAATTGGACCAGATGCAATGTCAACAAGACAAAGTGGGAAAAAATGTATTAAAGGAAATAGAAACGTCAACATATGATCATGCAGTGATTGTATTGGATAGTGAGGATAGTGAAGATGACAGCAGCTTGCCTGCTAGGTCTAAACTGTCACTTGCACTGAAGTCCTTGCCAGTTAAGCAAAAAGCTAAAACATAGGACTTTTCTGTAAGTGGATAGATGAGGGTGTGATATAATTGCTCATATGAGATGCTGCACCAAACATTTGGTCAGTAAGCTTTTAAAAAGAACTGCACTTGTATGATGATGACCTCATTAAATGAATTTTTTTACCGTATCCGGTTAGTTTTTGTCTTTATGTTTTATTGTTCCATGCTACTCATGATTCTGATCCTGTTATAGAAAAGGACTAGGTTCGTACACCGTCAATAATATGCAGAAAATTTTGGTTATTGGCACTTATTGCTGAAATATAATCGAAACTGCATTCTCATCAAATGACCATCCTTCAATAATTGCTATCTTAAGGCTTGCCTTTCTCCATGCAGCAATGCTATGTGTACACGTGATGTATACTCGCCCGTACATTTTTGCCATGTACATAGATAGTTTGTACAACATTTCTAATATGTCTGCAGTTTTTGACAAATTGCCTCTACACCATCAAAATGTAGAGGGCGTGTACAAAAAAACTTGTGCAAATGACGTTTTCCTTGTCAATGATGGAACTATTTCGACTTAACTCCACAAAGTCTTGATTTCCAACACTTCCGGTAACCTTATTCTCATTCCTGTCAAACCCTATTTGTCTATGACAACATGGGATGCTCCTTCCTTTTCAATACTTGTCCAGGTTAAGCTTAAAAGAGTATTTGTATAGGAGTAGTATGTATTTTTTAACAAAAATACTATAGGTACCCCCAAAATGGGGTACCCATTTTTACCCACCCCACCCCTAATTTGTGGCTCAAATGGGGCAACTGATTTAAGTGGGGCAACTCATTTAAATGGTGACCTCATTTGAATAACACAATGGGTGGGGTAAAAAAGGGTACCCCATTTTGGGATACACTAAACAAGGACCGACTAAATATATCAATAAGTAGAAAGTAGCAAAAGCCAAGTCTCTTTTATCTAATTAATTAAAATCATATAAGTTGTTCATTTTAGTGTTCAATTAAATTAAATCAAACAATCCCAAACCCCCCCCCTTTTATTTACTAGTTTCATAAAAAGAGAATTATTCTTTTCCACGTGAATACGAACTCTACTTCACTATACTACGTATAAGTGCTAGTATTGAATTTATTTTGATGCACTACGACAAAAGTGCTCGTCAAGCGAGCTTTAGGGTTTAAAGAATGAAGGAATTCGAGAAAGGCGTGTATTTATACTAATAGATCGAATTTGGGCCGAACTGGGCTAAAAAGGCCTGCACACGCCGTGGATGTAACACGATACGGAAACTCGGTCCGACACACAGATTTTAGGCATGTGGTGCGTACAGCCGTGCGTGTCAGTAGCCCCCTTGAAAAATCCTTCCACGCACGTCGTGTGTGACTCCTAGACGCACCAATGCTAAAATTGGCCCCATTTCTTCTACGGTTGAGCCTCCCCATGGTCCGAAACGCTAAATCAAACATCATAAACTATCCAAAGACCTTCTAAATGTACGAATCATGGTTTCAAATTCTTTCAAATTTTCTCAAATTTTCTCAAAATTTTAGGGTATTAGAGAAGTTTTTGACTTTTAATTACACCAAAAAGCACTTTTCAACAAACACCTTAACTTTTAATTTCCACATCATTTATCTTTTCAAATACTATCAACTTCTACAATTCTACTATTAATCATGTTTCATACGGAGTATAATTTTTTAAAAAGTTACTTTTTAAAAGTAGAAGCAAGGGTAAACACTCCCTTAGATGAGGTGCTTGCTTAAGCTGGAACGGAAGACCTTAAGCTGATCAAGAAATTGACTTTCTAACAAACTAGTCTACTTATGCATATATATTGGATCAAATAAAAAGAATGCTTAATAAATAAGTCTGCAATATTGTCAAAAGGAATATACAGTAATACAGGAAGTTTAGAAGTTCAATGTGAATACATCTTTTGAATCAGCTAGTAGTAACGTTAGGGATGGATGCGTAGTGAAATATGGTGTAGTGTCTCTTAGAGGTCGTTTGGCACAACTGTTTTTCGGCTTATCAGGCTTAACAAATAACTTTTTCACCAAACACTTAATGTTTGCTTTTGCGCGCTGAATTGTGTAATAAGCAGAAAAAGTAAGGCTGAAGTTACTTTTCTGGCTGTGTTGGCTGAAGTTACTGTAGATGACCATTTTAGCTATTTGTATATATAAATTTTTCTTTATTTTATTAATAAAATATATTTTAAAAATATTTTTTCTTTAAATCGAATCAGTCAATGCAGCCACTTCAGCCAGAACTTCATAAATTTCAACACAATCAGCCGATTTTTGTGCTAAGAAACAGGCTGTTGTTGTTGCTATTTAGCACCGTATGAAAAGTTGTAAATCCTTGTCAGCTATGCGTACGAAGTAACCTTAATTTCATTGTCTTCTTTTATAACGAAGTTTGGATATTCTTCGAGCAAGCCTAGTATAAATGACAGAAAGTTGTAAGTCCCTGTCAGCTATGCACATATCTTTATTTTAATTGTTAATTGGTAATTAATTAATACTAACCATCAACAACCCGGGTGCATAATTTTCTTGGTCAAACTAAACCAGTTGTTATCCACAGTAACACATACACATTATATATATACGAAGTATATTCTAAATAAGTCTTCATGGTCCTTAAATGCCACCCAAAAGATCTGTCTTTGAACCCCAATCCAATTTTCACACAACAGAGCTGCGCGTCTGGCGTACATATAACTATCTGAATAAGATCATACCATCTATATTAACTGTCAATGTTGAAAAGTTAGCAGATATGCAGACAAAAAGATGGTCCAGAAGCTTTAGCACGGGAGGAAGAAGTATCCAGTTGGGCCGCCATTATGATCCGGAGTTTGAGCATGGTTCCGACGAGCATCAGGCTGCGGAACCTGCCAATAAATGGTCTGTTTGGAAAGCGAAGCAGAGGAGGAAGAGCAGATTCGAGTTGTCGAGATGTGTGCATGTTCCCAGATACGATGAATACAGCTATTCGCAGAATTTCGACAAGGGCTCTGACTGGGACGAACCTGATCAACTCTTGAGATCTTTCTCTCTTCGTTTTGCTCATCCACGATCAAGGAAGACGATGGTATTGAAGACGAACTTGATCAACTCCCAATCCCGCGCCGTTTAATTACAGAAATATTGATTGCACGGCTCCTTGCCCTATGACATACATTTTGTACCATATAATTTGCGGTCCGGCACAGTCATGTTTATGTATATACGGATAATTATGTTGGTTTACTGTACTACGTGGAATCCTCTTCCCATTCACATATTCCCTATAAATCCCATGGTCCAGCTGGCTGTACCGTGCACACGGTACAACCGGGTTTTTTTGTAATTAATCTGCGCGCTGCAACTCATCTGCGAAGAAGAAGAAGAAGAAGGGCATCGATGAAGACGGAACGTCGACTTCCCAGGTCTCCAACTCGCGAAGCAGCCCAAGCCGCCACATACTCCGATCGATTGCGCAGCCAAACGTGAATTTCGCTTTTGACCTGAGATTCAATTCTTCCCACCTCATGTTTCTGGGCTGGCTTCTAGAAAGAAAAAGGGAAAGGAGTTGAAAGCTCTTTGTGGATGTCTGTATCGAAATGAGTTTAATATTAAAGGCAAATGAGTATAATGTCTAAAAGGAATGAATATACATAGATGAATATTGGACACATAAGAACTGAGTTTGTATGTTAAACTCAAATGAGTGTCGTGCCCAAAATGAATGAGCAAATACAAATGAGTTTTTGAAATTTTTAATACTCATTTTGTAAGTTATGTATGCTCATTTGGAATCGCTTTATGCTCATTTTAAAAGGTTGCACATTACAAACATATCATACTACATTAGAAATGAGTTTTATGTTAAATTCACATGAGTATAACGTTCAAAATGAATGAGCACACATAAATGCGTTTTTTTATTTTTTTATACTCATTTTGTAAGTTATGTGTGCTCATGTGGTACTGTTTTATGCTCATTTTAAAAGGTTGCATATTTCAAACATATCATACTACATTAGAAATGTGTTTTATGTTAAATTCACATGAGTATAACGTTCAAATGAATGAGCACACCCAAATGCGCTTTTTGATTTTTTATACTCGTTTTGTAAGTTATGTGGACTCATTTGGTACTGTTTTATGCTCATTTTAAAAGGTTGCACATTTCAAACATATAATACTACATTAGATTCACTTATTAAAAGTAATTGAAATTGATTATAGACATAACTTAAGACTTTTTAATAAACGAAAAATAATAAACAGAAAGTGATGTATAAGGTATAAAGCAGACATCACTGATGCTCACAGTTAGACTCCTAATACTCAAAAGAACATATTTGATGCTCAACAAAATCCCATATTCCCTCTCACCCCTATACCTTTATCAATTTCCTTTTTAAATCCGTCAAAAAATATTTTATCATTTTCTTTATCAGTAAAAATAACGAAGGAAATGACAACATATTTACCCTTCCACAAATACTCCGCCTTCAAGTCTTTTGATTTCTGAGTCCTGACTCTCCCAAGATTTGTTAATTCATCGATTTATGTCCACAATATGCGTTCATCCAATGCCCCTCTCCAAAAATCTAGTTCATTAGTATCTCAATTTCAGATTTTCTACAACCATATATGACTCATGAGAAGAAAGAAAAGTAGTTGTAGAGGAAAGTATTAGAAATGAATAATTGAAAGGAGAAATGGGTGAAATGTACGTAAGTTGAAAAGGGATGGGTGGAATTGCACAAGTAATAAAATGGTATGGAGAAAGAAACTAGAGAAGAAATAGGAACCGGCCCAGCACTGTTGGGAACCGGCCCAACCTGGTGGCCCGGCCAGAGACCGGTCCGGGTAGGCCCGGCCCAGGGGTTACACAGGGCAGGCTCGGGTCACCCAAAATAGGAACCGACCCGGCTGGTTCGGGCCTTTTTTTTAGAATCAATACTGTGTTCGTAATCTAACGCATATTGCACGATAGGCATATTAATTTTTCATTCGATCGAGAATTCTACGATCTTAACCAAGGCAGATATATGTAGTACTCCCTCCGTCCCGCTAGAAGGTTCCCGTTGACGGTTTACGATAATTGACTGACGATAAATAATTTAATCCATGTTCACACTCTGATTATTTTTAGTAAATAAAATTTACAGAACATACATTAAAACCGCTATAAAATTTAATTAAAAAATGCAAATTTGATAAAAATTTGATATATAAAGTAAAAAATTAAAAATGATTTAAGTTGACCATGTGAATAGTGGACGGAAACTTGGACAGAGGAGTATAATACTAGTATATACGGAGTACAAGTTTATAAGATACAAATGGCTTCATTTCCATTGAGAATTCGCATTACAGCAATTCTGACTTCCAAGACATCACAAATTCACAACCCAACGTAGTTCAAAGTTATTCTATCTCAACAATCAATCACACGATCAATCATTTTGGCTTCCCTCTCAGCTTGACTCCCAAAACCTTCTCCATCCGAGCCAGCACCGCCTGGTTTGGCACAGCCTTTCCATTCTCGTACTCTTGGACCACTTGAGTTCGCTCGTTAATCTGCTTTGCTAGCTCCGCTTGTGTCAATTTCTTCTCTATCCTCGCCTTCTGTATAGTCAGCCTCACCTCCGCCGGAACTCTGTCCAGCGCAGCCGGCTCCGCCGCCTCGTCCAGCTTCCTTGCGTTCACTGCCGTTGCCGGAGCCTTCTTGTTTGAACCGGCGTCAAATTTCTTCACGGTCAGAACCTGAGCGCCGGTCCTAAGCGCCTGGTTCACGGCCTTCGGGTCGCGGAGCTCTGAGGACTTGGGCTTTTGCTTACGAAGCACCACCGGCTCCCAGTCCTGGGCTATTCCTCCGAACGGACGAGTAGGCATCGAAAATATTGATTCGATCAAAGAAAACTGCAGTAATTAATTCAATCGGGATAGGAAACGATGGAAACGACGAAGAAGGAGAAGTGAGCTACATATTATTATATGGAAGAAGTATTCTGGAAGATTCGGCTAATTTCTCCGCGATTTGAGTCATCTAGTAGTATCCAGAAGGTTCATGGTATATCGAGACAAGAAGTTCGAGATTTGGAGAGGTGTCATTTCCAAAAGCCATTTTTTAAATAATAACTTTTGTTTCTCATATGAATATTTTAAGATTTGGTTTGAATTGATTTGAATTTTTCGATCTGATCTAATCAGATTTGAATCTTTCTGATTTGTTCTAAATCTTTTTTATTTGATATGAATCTTTCTAGTATAGTTTGATCTTATCTGAATTTTTGTGATCTGATCTGAATCCATCTGGTCTGTAATGAATCTTTCTCATCTAAATTGAATATTTCTGATCTGACTGAATGTTTATTTTTTTAAAGACGAAAATCACATATATTAATTCAAACAATCATTCGACATCTGACTCAAAATACAAGACAAATTAACATCAAAAAACCACTACGTGCATTGAATAATGTGACCCTAGCAAGCTTATGGGTCACACGATTCACATATCATTTACATAACTGGACAACTAACCTAGTTTCATTCTGGATATTGTGTCTAATATCATCAATTATAGCATCTGAATAAGAAAATCTTGAACTTTCCTCCTATCTTGTCGTGATCAGTTGTGCATGTGTCTTTAGCACAGTCTGATTCCATCCTTAATTCTTCGCTCATATGAGTTACGCTCGAACATCAAGTGCCTTCGTAATGCTTGCCGACTAGTCCGCTGTGTGAGATTTCCATTCACCTCGAATAAGCTCACTGTTATGGTCTATTGTCTATTGTAATCCATCCTAGGCTCTTCTTCCCTCACGATCATTAGTAGCTTCATCAACATCGATCTTGATTGTTCCAATAGCTGATGTAGTCCAACAGGTCTCGATTGCTTCCATTGCTCTACTTGCCCCAATGGTACCCTGTGCAGTCTGCCATCCTAGAAGTACAAAAACTCCCATATTTATCACTCTTAAAGAATTAAACATTGATTACCATATCAACTCATTACATTCCTTCCATATGTCCCACATGAGAGCAATAAATCTGCATAAATCCTCTTCTGTCAGACTACTGAAAAGTTTCTCCACCCACTCCTGCCAAGAAACTCCATTGAGCTTGTTTAAAGTAACTAAACTTGTTCATTCTCCCGGTAGCAATCTGTCATTCCAAACTAAAATAGCCTGACCACTACCCACTTTCCTCCTCGTCCCCCCTCGAATAACTTTATGGGAAGTATACTTTTCCAGATAAAAGAATGATTACTTCCTAGCTTTGCATCCAGAAAAGAAGATTTGGGGGAATAACGGACTTTAAAGACCTTACCTCCAGCGACTCCAGGTCATTAGTGCAGTGTCGAGCTTGCTTTCCCAACATAGCAATATTAAATTCTTTCACCAAACGATACTCAAACCCACCTTTAGATTTGGGACTGCATAAAGCTTTCTAAGGCTTCCATCGTATGTCGCGCCCCTCCAGATCCTTTCCCCGCCACCATTATTCATTCATTAGTCTTTTTTTCGAGCACAAATTAAGGGGTAGGAGGAACATGTTCGTGGCATAGGAAGACATTGCTTGAACAATCGTTTTCAAAAGTACCTCCCTCCATGCTTTTGACAAAAATATATTATTCCAACTCGTGATCTTCTTCATAATTCTCTCTCTCAAATATCTCAATATCTATGTTTTTTGCCGCCCCATTAGCGTAGGTAGTCCCATGTAGCGACTGCACATCTCTCCATCTGAAACTCCTAAACAACTGCATATCTCGTCTTTCACCTGGACATTAAGACTAAAAGAAATTGAGGATTTATCAAAGTTTCTTTTCTATCCCAAGGTACACTCATACGCATGTAAAATTTCTTTGATCGCAAGACTTTCCTCATCCCTTGCCCCGCGAAAAATAATTGTCATATGCAAAAGAAGGGGAAAGATGACCCCCCCCCCCCCCCCCCGACAGAGTCCCCTTTGAGGTCTGGTCGGCCCAATAATAGCTCCATCGAAAGGATTGCAATACTCCACACCCACCACACAAGCACGGATCAGCCGAGTCAAATTAGGAGCAAAACCCATAACTTCCATCACCTTAAAAGAAAATCTCATTCTACCTTATCATATGCTTCACTCATATCCAGTTTTATAGCAACAAATCCTTCTTTACCTTGAGTTTTCCTTTTTAGGTGGTAATGAGATTGAAAGGTTATCATAATATAATCCACTATAGGTCTACCTGGGATAAAAACACTTTGAGTGTTAGATATAAGATGATTTAAACATCCTTTTACCCAATTTGCTATGAGCTTAGCAAAAATCTTGTAAACAACAGAACAAAAAGCAATGGGCATCCAATCGCCCATATTTTCATGACTCTCTCTCTTTAGGTATGAGGACTGAATTAGTGACGTTGACCCCATCAGGAAGATAACCACCCTCAGAAATGTTTTTGCAATAATAACAAATAACATGCCCCACAAGATCTCAGTAAGGCTGGAAAAAATCTGGTTTAAGACCGTCAGGCCCTAGTACTTTATCGGGATGCATAAAAAACTACTTTCTTGACCTCATCCACCACGATAGGCCCGAGTAAGCGATCATTGTCACTGCTCAGAACTCGAGCTAAGCCTTGTCAATCCTCTTGTTTCATGTTGGCTCCATCTAATGTAAACAACCCTAAAAATTATTCTTATATCAAAACTTTTAGTTGTCCCCTGTCACACACCCACTTACCACTAGGATTCTTGAGCCCTTTCAAGGTATTGATACGTCTTCTTTGTTTTACTGAATTATGGAAGAATTTTGTATTGATATCTCCTTCTTTCATCCAGAACTCCTTAGCTCGTTGTTTTCAAAAATCATCTTGTTGTTTAAGGATGTTTTTACTTGGACTGTAATTTGCTGGTCTGGTCTGATCTGGTCTGGTTTGGTTTCTTTGTATTTTTATAACTATCCAAGTCTGGTCTGGTCTGTTCTGGTCTGAACTGGTCTGGTCTGGTCTGGGGCAAATTACAGTCCAAGTAAAAACATCCTTAGAAGATCAAACAAGACCACTTTTACTCTCTTGAATTCTTCTATACTTCCCATATCATACATACTCCGCAAGTAAGTTAGTATGTGCCTACATTGATCAATCCTAGCTTGAAAACCCAACTTCGTCTTCCTACTTCAATTATGTAAAGCATTACCACGATCAATGATACACTGTCAAATACCCCGTTGTGGTCTGCCTTCCCAACTTTGTCTCACTACAGACACTCCCACTTTGCAATCCTCATTATTCAGTGAAGGCTCTATGACACCTAGTTAGGTAATCAAACCAAATGTATAGCTATTGTATGATATGGTATAAGACTAACCGCAAAGGAAGGGGTGAAAATCCCACATTTGATGCATTCACCCCAAAATCACTCCAACCCAACAGAAAAACAATATAGAGGGTGAAAATAATATATAGGGTGCTACAATTAATGTTCTAAAAGGCTTTAAAACGCGCACCTTAGGCGGCCCTAAACTCAAGGCGCTGACCAAAAGGCTCGCATACCTAGGAAGGGTGAAAAAAGGCGGCCCGTGTATGTTTAAAAAGCCCGTAGCTGTATAAAGGCCGAGTAGTAGGCCGCCTATTTGAATTGATGTAAGGACAAATTTATTTATAGAGCAGTGCGAAAGAAAAATTCTCCTTTGCAAATTGGTGTGGGAAACATTGACTATACTTGCTGGAATTCGGAACTAGGTAGCTGATTTAGAATCGGTGTGGGATTTATTTATCGTACATCCCACTTGACATGATGTACTCTTAAAATTTATAGTATTAGAACATTACTTAACAATATGATTATGCTAAGCATTGATTTCACTATTATTGTATTACTATTACTATTATTATATTACTAGTTGTGCTACGCGCGATGCGCGAAAGGAAAATGCCCAAAGTAACGTTTTAGTAATAATATTAGGTTGTGTTATTGGAATTTTGTTTAGAGCACCATTAAATAGTTGTTCCCTAAAAAACGTGCGGAGATTCTGGTATTTACAGGATATCATATAAACAATTCTAACTGGACCATATGTTGCATCATATACTTTTATTGATGAATATATGCGTCGTTGCATGTCATATGTAGGGGTGGTTCGGTACGGTATACCTTATATTTTTTCTCATACCTTTGCCATACCAAAACTTTCGGTATGCAAAATTTGCATACCTTTACCTTACCGAAGTTTCGGTATACCGCATTTCGGTATACCGAAGTTTCGGTTCGGTAACGGTACGGTATCGGTAAATTACCGTGCATGTCTGCCAATACAAAAAATTATCATAGACTAACGAAATATACTAAATCGTTATTACTAGTGACATATTAAATCATTATTTAAATGTTACGAAATACAATTAATAATCTATTGATGTCAATTCAATATTGAACAATAATTATTATTATATTTAAGCAATTTAACATGCCACATATCAAAAAGTAACACATTCTCCTAAAATAACTTGAACAATATAGATATAATTAAACCAATAGTGATCTCTAACAAAAATAAATAAAACTATTCAAACAACATGGATATAAAATCATTTATTCCTAATATGATATTGTGTATTTAGTCATTTTTATAATTTTTTAAAAATTGAAGACTTTCGGACAAAGTTGTGTGTCTCGACTCGCGGAATCCCTATGTAGACACACTTGTCACATAAGTGTATCTCTCTTCACTCGTCAGCTACTTAGCAGCCCAACCATCACGACTTGCAAGCTCTTGGAACAAGATGAACTTGTTTCTTGACATTTGTACATTACTCATTAGTCATTAAAGTTAGCGTGGTAGAAGCCTATAAGGTTATAGTGGATTTGAAAAATTGGGCATTTATTTTTTCATATTTGTATTTGTAACCAACTTAAGTATTAATTATGGGCTTCAAAATTGTAATGGATTTCTACAATATATTAGAATTAAAAGTAATTGTTGAGTAGAGAGTCGGTACGGTATTATACCGGTATACCGCGGTATTTGAAAACATTTACCGTTACCGTACC